CTAAAAGCCTTAATCTTTCTGTACTCGTTGTCAATACGGAGAACTCAACCGCACTTCCTCAATTCCATTCTTCGTTCGAGTGTGTGTGTGCAAGGTGTGATAGCTAGGTGAGAGATGTGGCGGTGCGGTAGCCGCGAACTATGCATATTTGGCGAGATTATTTGACGCGGCTACAGGCGCTCAGCGCTGCGCTTCACCACCTTCTATGTTTGGGTAAGCAGCCAGGAGACGCGCGATTAGTACCTGCTCTCGTCACCTCCGACTGCCGCTTTGCATTCCAAACACGCACTTCAGCTGCGTAAAGGGACGTCCTTAAAGAGGCACCGTTCGACCAAACTGAAACGGGAAAAATTTGACCTTGTGTGATAGCGGGGCCGCTAACTAAGCAATAGGTCAAGTTTCGCCGCAAAACATGAAGTCCGAAGTGAGAAAATCGTTTTAGAAGACATAGGTGACTAAGGTGGCTCCGCCCACCATTGGTACAAAAGGTCTGAAGGTAGCAAGACTAAAATCAGGCTTCAACCCATCTGAATTTGTCATAAATCCGGCCTTCATTGGGATTAGATCTTCGACTTTTTGTCTACCTGAAGCCCACTTATCAACTCATTATCTTTGGACCACCCACATCAATGGGCGGAGCTACCTAGGCCGCTTCTACCCTCTAAAGCGATTTTCTCGCTTTAGAATTTATTTTTTGCAGCGGAACATGAGCTATTGCTTAGTTAGGGGCCCCGCTATCATACAACGTCAAATTCTCATCAATTTGGGTAGAAGTGCTTTCCAGATTCCAGAGAAAGCAATACGGTCAAACCCTTCTCACTTTCAGTATGTCCATTCAATGCGGAACCGCTGATGCTTGGCCAAGATTTCGCCTACTGCCGTGCATCTGCCATAGGAGACTGTCCTGTCGGATATCTTTGTGATCAATCCTTTGTGCTTGGAAAATCCATCTGCTGTAGAGATAACCGCCTCAGGCCTATGCCTAGCAGACCCGTCATCAGTAAGAACGTATAATTCTTCACGAATATTTTGATGATTCCAAGTTTTCCAGTCATGCCCAGCTCGTTGCGTCCACCATTCAGCTGGAACACAATTACACCTACACCATCACCAAAATGGAATGTTTTCACCACAGTGAAGAAGGCACCATGGTACATCAAAGACAGGTTTGTGGTGGGCTTACTCATCCAAAATTACATGAATTTACCGTAAAATTCGAATGTCTTGGCTTTAGACTCGTCTCTTTCAGAACTACTTGGCCCAGTGTTTATAACCGCGTCACATCAGAAGCCACGCCTGCCCCAACCTTGACCACAGAAGAAGAGACTACCTACACTACTACGGAACCTACCACAACCACCACCACCACGGAAGAGTAAGTTTTTGAAAACTTCAGTCACCCCTCTTTTGGGGAAGACAAAAAAATTTTCTTTGTATAGAACCACGACCACCACCACTACCGCAAGCCCGACAACCAAGACTGTGAACCCTTGGGCACGTATCTGGTCCACTACAGCAGCACCAGAAAATACAGTCAGCGTCAGCGTACTCCAGGCAGGAAGCCTCCGTCCGCTTAGGGTAAGAATTTTAGCTTACCATAAGCTGAGTAGTTATTCCTTTAACTAATGGCTGTCCCCTAGGATGGTCAGTTTGAGACCGTGGGTGCCATAACGCTCATCAACGACAATGGTTTCTTGGTTTTGGTTGATACCGGTGCATCAAGCGATACGGAGCGACTTCTCCAAAGTATGTTTACAGTAGTCATACAGTAACTACAGTAACCCTCAGTTAATCCAATTTAGGCTTAGCCAAGGAAAATGTCACATTGGATCAAATCAAT